AAAATCGTTGTCCTGCTGTTTAAGGTAGCACGTTTTGCTCTTATGCAATTAAAACTTTGACATGGCTAGACTTTGTGTCTCATGAAGGAAGGCTGGGAATAATGAACAACTTGATTTTGGCAAACACTGTGACAAACAAAAGGTGGTTCAAATGTGATTTTCTTCCCACCAAACTAGAATGGCTCTTCAAAACAGTCTAGAACTGAACTACAAGAATTCAGATCTTCCAACTAGCTGACAAAATTATGGATGCAGTGACATACCTGTTCCCCAAACTGCAAGGAGAAACGTGCCACCTACCTATTTATAGCTGATGCTGTCTTCAGGCTAAATACTATTTGGAAGGTCACTACAAAACCATTTCTTACATAAAACACATCCATAAATGTTATAGCCACATAGCATACAACCATGGTTAAGGTTAAAGCAATCTAAAATGCAGGCCCAGTATTGATTCAACTGTATCTTACAGCTGCAAGGTTTCGTTTTGGCTTCCCACTTGGCAATAAGCCCTTTTCCTTATAACTCATAAATTAGGTTTTGTTTAGAAGCAGGACAGCTAAAAATTGAAGAAAACAATTCTATAGAGTTCTGTCAATTTCAAGTTATCAGTTTCCACTAGAAATCATGTGTGGCAACTTTGCAATCAAAGCACAGTAAATGAGAGAAAATAAGTTTACCAGCTTCCCCCAGACAGTGCCTCATACCAAGAACCAACATGTGGCAGATGGAAAATGTTCCAAACATTACAAATCAACTATTTTTTTGTAGTTAACTTTCAAAGAGTACTGAATAACGCAGCTGTCACTCAAATCAGATCTCCTCTACAGAAGTAGTAGGCAAAAAGCTACACCAATGGGAGGTGTACAGAGGGAGGAAGGAAGGGTTCTTTAATCAAAAAGCTGCAAATAAAAGAGATCCAGGTTAAATGTCCTCAGTGGCAACTCCTCCTGTTGTAACAAATGCCATCCCAGCTCCACCACTATATAAATGCCTTTGTTTCTCCTGAGAGTTTAATTCACAAGCTGAAGTCAGTGCAGAGATTCTCAATGACTTCTATCAGTTTGGGAAGAAGCTGACGCTGTGTGCATACAGAACAGTAACACTCACAGCAACACATTGTTCTTACTTAGAAATGTATCCTCCGTGGATTGGGAAACACTTCATCTGGCTGTTAAGAGCTTTAATCTACAAAATTACAGAAATTACTTTATTTACACAAGAGGATATACAGGGAATAAACAGTTCGTTCAAGGTCATAAGCAGAGAAAGCGCCAAGAGGAACATTAGAAAACAGACCTTCCGGGTTGCCTGCCTTCAGCACAAGCTAAGTATTTTTAAAATAGATTATTTTTATCTTCAGCATTACATCTCTTAGGGCTAATTAAGAAGTAAATAAAAGTAAAGTAAATAATAATTAAGAAGTAAATAAAATGCTTAAAATAAAATTCTCAACAACCTTGAGAATCATAGAATTGTTTGGGTTAGAAGGGACCTTAAAGATCACCTAGTTCCAGCCCCCTGTCAAGGCAGGGAGATCTTCCAAGGTCAGAAATCTTTCTACCTGACACCAGCATAGTGGCAGTTTTATTACGAATATTTTTTTGCTCCATTATCTTCCTAATAACTGAGCAAGTCTGAGCAAGGCAGCCTCCTGACAGGCTCCTGCTAATGTGCCCACAGGACTTCTGGCAGATGCAAAGACCTGCTTGCCCCCTGGTGAGACCTGCCTGTAGTCCTGCATCCAGCTCTGGGGCAACAACACAAGAGGGACACGGAGCTGTTGGAGTGAGCCCAGAGAAGGCCACGAAAATGCTGTGAGGGGTGGAGCACCTCTGCTGTGGAGACAGGCTGAGAGAGCTGGGCTTGTTCAGCCTGGAGAAGAGAAGGCTCCAGAAGACTTTAGAGCAGCTTCTGGGGCCTACAGGGGCTACAGGAAGCCTGGAGAGGAGCTTTGGACAAGGACCTGTAGGGACAGGACAAGGGGGAATGGCTTTAACCTGACAGAGGGGAGACTGAGATGAGCTCTTACGCAGAAGTTCTTCCCTGTGAGGGAAGCTGGCACAGGTTGCCCAGAGAAGCTGTGGCTGCCCCATCCCTGGCAGTGTTTAAGGCCAGGCTGGATTGGACTTGGAGCAAGCTGCTCTAGTGGAAGGTGTCTCTGCCTGTGGCAGGGGGTTGGAACTGGGTGAGTTTTAAGGTCCCTTCCCACCCAAACATTCCAGAATTCTGTAATTCTATGATTTCTAAAGGAAATAATAAGGTTTACTCACTTTTTCCCCAAAAGCTGCTCAGATGATGAGAGCAGATCTAGTCAACCCATTAGTGCCAAATGCTTGCATTTGTTTTACATTTAGTGGAAAATGAAGCAGTCTTCACTAACGATAGAAACAAGATATATCATCAGTCTGTCTAAACCTAGGTAAAAAGATCCTTCATTTAAGTATTTGGAAATTGATGGATTGGAGAAAAGGAAGATGAAAAAAAGAGGTTCAGTGAACATGAAACTACCATGTTTTCAAATTCATTAAATCAGTGTCACAGTTGTCAATGCATTTCAGTATATGCCACACGTTTGAAGACATAAAATATCATGCAAAAATAAACCATACTGCTCTCCTGCCACCCTTTAATAGCACAATCCTTCCACCAGTGCAATTCATCATGTGTACTACTTAGCCATGCAACATCAAAAGAACATACACAGTGGAAATCAATAATCTTCACAATTAAAAAGCAATAAAAGTAACCTTAGATTAATGGCAACTATTTTGATACCCACAGACAAAGCCCTAATTTCCCATATGAAGCCAGAAATAACTGCACTCCTACCTCTGCCCACCTGGAATCAGTTGGGAAGGACAGGTAGAGGATGCAAGCCCCATGATCTGAGTACCTCGCCAGCTCTCTGAAGGATCCAGGGAAGATGTGTGAAATCACAGAATCACAGAATTGTTTAGGCTGGAAAGGATCTATAGGATCATTGTGATCAATCATAAACCCAGACTGCCAAGTCCATCACTCTCCATGTCCCTACATGCCAAATCCACGTCTTTTAAATCTTCCAAGAACAGTGACTTCACCACTGTCCTGAGCAGCCTCTTCCAGTGCTTGACAACCCCTTCAGTGAAGAACTGTTTCCTAATAATCAATCTAAACCTCCCCTGGTGCAACTTGAGGCTATTTTCTCTTGTCCTGTGGAAATAAAGAGAGGAATTCCTTACTGCACTCGACACTGGCTACTTGACAAGAACTGCAGCTCCACTGAGTTCCATGGGCACTCAGACTTAACAGCAATGGAAGAAACCAGCAGCATTTGGCTCTAAGGCTCTCATTTGATGAGCAAATTTCATACTTCAAGTGAAACACAGAGTTGGGTCCTTATAATTAAAAAAAGAAAACTTGACAAATTGCACTGAAGCTATCTTGTGGCTTTTAACCTGAAACCTATTTGCTTTGCTACAGGCTCAAGTCTCAAACTTGTCACACACTGATCTACCATACCAAGCTTGCCATTTAACATGCAACTCAAAAATGGATTCTTCAGGCTTAACAAATCACTGAAGAAGACTAGAACTAGTCACAAATCATAAGGAACAGAACATGAAATTCTGCTGCTGCTCTCTGACTGTGCTGTTATAGTGTTACCTTATGCTTTTAGGATATAAATTCTGAGCTAATGAGAAAGAAGCAAAGGTCATATTTCCCAAGATGGGATTCTTAAAGTCAGCAAGTTCAATCTGTCAAATGTTTCTGCGAAATATAAGCCATGTCCCTCTATAGGATTAGTTAGCCCCATCTTGTGCACTCAGTCATTACACCACAAGAACATGCACTCGCTACTGTATGTAAGAGATAACCATCCTTTTAGAAACAGCACCTTTAAATAGTCTTCCATTGAAGGTTTCTTAATGGACCCAATGAGAAGTGGTTGCACTGAAGAACTAACTCATCTCTTGATTTTTCATTTCATGTTTCAGCATACTGCACTTGTTCAAGTCCCTTTTCTAGGGCTCAGTTCTCAAGTCAGTTGGACTCCTAAAAGCCTTGATTTAGAGAGATGAAACAATACTCAATCTAAAACCAATGCTTGAGTGCTTTTGAAAAATGTTGCCTTCGACTGACCTACATGTGACTCTTTAGTGTAGAATTCTCAGGGATGTGATACACAGAAAAAAGGGTTTAATGCTCCGAAGCAAACATTGACATATTAGGTAGCATTAATGTCAGAACTCTATCAAAGCCAAGAAATTAAGCAAAGAATGCAAGATGAGAAGTAACTGATTAATGGTTTTGTGACAATTGTGTATGTTGAATTAAACTGGCTTACCACATCTCTCTTCTGAAATATTAATGTCTTTCACACTGCTGCACGCCATGCTGACTTACGTATCTAGCAGAAAAGGCAGTGTCCCACAGATAATCTCCCCTCTGTATGACCTACCCTTCAAAACACCCGTGCTCCATTAAACTAGGAGCGGGCAGCATTAATCCTCAAGGCACACAGTCTCCAGCTCTTACAGGGTGCACTTCCCCCTGCTCAGATATTGCAGAGCTGAAGATTTCCAAAACCAGTACTAGAACATTCAGTGTTTCCCTTCTCTAAATGTCTGTTTTCAGAAAATAAAGAACCTCCAGCATAGCAGATAAATGCATTTAAGAAAATAATTGGAACACTTATGGGCAGTGTTGCAGGACACATCCATGACCTCATGCAACAACTTGTGATTTTACAACTAAGTTGAAGAACACATCCCCTGCAGGACTGTGACACTTTCAATTCCTGTAACAGAAATAATAAGCCTTACACTTGGAAAACTTAACAGTATTAATCATTTATCTTTTACTACCTATCTATGCAAACTTTCAGATGCATTCCTTCAAACTCACAGATGTTCATTTTAGATGCAGACGGTAAGAACTAGTGATACTTTTTCACCTTTTCCCTTTGCAGCACCCAGTGAACACAAGTTCTTATACACTCTCCAGAGTGCACTTACCCTTAGTTCAACTTCTTTGCCAAGTAGGTCATACATACTTGCTCCTTTGGAGGTGATTTCGGAAGCAAGCTGTCTAGCTGCCTTCAAGTCAGTAATCTGGAAACACACAAAGTAAAATTTTTCCCATTTCGATGTTAAAATTGCATAGGAGGTCAGCCCAGTGGCCAAAATTCTACTGTAGTATTGAAGAAGTTGTCCACTGGAATCAGAGTGAGCACAACTTCTGTTGGGGCCCCCAACATAAGTCAGCCATGGAGTTGTTGGAGAGTCCATAGGAGGCCACAGAGATGCTGCAAGAGCTGGAGCAGCTCTGCTGTGGAGACAGGCTGAGAGAGCTGGGCTTGTTCAGCCTGGAGAAGAGAAGGCTCCGGGGAGACCTTAGAGCAGCTTCCAGTGCCTAAAGGGGCTACAAGAAACCTGGAGAGGGGTTTTTGACAAGGACCTCTGAACCCAAACCACTCTGTGATTCTATGATAGATGAAGTACCATTTAGACATAAATTTCTGGGTGAAACCCCAGCCACTTCAGGCCAACACCACACAAAAAAAAAAAAACTCTTTAAAACAGTGACTTGGCCAGTTGATGGTTTGCGTGCTGCCCAGGGCAGAGGAAAACATCACCTTTTTCACATTAAAGTAAAAAGTATATATACCAAAAGGTATGTGACTAACACATTGCATAGGTAATGAGTATTGACAACCTAAAAGTGTTTTTTCATTGTTTCTTCAGGTGCTTTCTTCAGAGATGCACCAAACTGCCACAGAGTAAAACTTGCCTGTGGTTCTGGCATTCTCTCAAGAAACACAGTACTGCTGCCTAACAAGCAGGCAGGACATAGTATAGCTGTAGAGGAATCAAAGACTAAAAATACGAGCATATAAAAGAGGTGCTAAAACTAACGAAAAGCAGCAACAGGAATTCCTCTTACTTAATGTTGAGTTTTCTTTCAGTATCTAGATATGGAACTCATTTTAAGAACTTGAACAGCTTTAACATCTGTTAGGGGAACAGAAGGATTTCCCTTTCCTTCAATGCAAATGGGCTGAAAACCAACTTTAAGTCATTATTTTGCAAACTCCTTCTATGCCAACAAGGTTAGTAGCTAGAAAATGGTTTTTATCCTGGCCTATTCCAATATTTCCATTTTTTCAGCAGTCAAAGCCAAAGATAACCAATTTTGTGCCACTCTTGCCTTGTATTATGCTTCTGGTTGAGAATTTACAGAGAGTAAACCAAATCGTAGCATATAACCTCAACTACAGGAAGTATGAATTACAACCATACCCACTCCCGTGCAAGAACATTCTCTACTTAAGACTCAAATAGAAAATTAACTTGCTTTTCATAGGTTAACACAAAACCCCTGCCCAAAAAAGACTACAAGTTTTACTTACTTTTGAGCCAAGATCAAACTTGAACTTGCTGCTGTCTTCCTCACTCAAATCCATGTGTTCCACTCCCTTGTTATTCATAGCATCATAAAGCACAGAGGTGATCTTTAGCAGTTCCTTCACTGCATAGCCATCTGCCTGGTAAAGCTTCTTAGTGTTTAGCTTTATGTGAGCTTTGGTAGCCTTTGGGAAGAAAGAATGAATTAATTAAGTCACAAAGAACAAAATCCTCATTGACCTCTTCATACTTCACTCAAAAGCTTTTTTTTGAGGGGGCACCATGCTCTGCTTTACAAAACTAAATATTCCTGTTTGGAAACACAAGTTTGCCTTATTAGATTACTGATGTTTCTGGAAGAAATTTTTGTGAAATGAGTGTACTTTCTGCATGTCAGAACATTTGTGGATAATTGCCAGAATGAAAAAACTCAATTTATCCATTAATTCTTCCCTGCATAAAGATCAGCAAAACCCTTGTGCACCACTTATATTCAAATTAAGTGGAATGTAAGCACTGCCCAGGTCTTGTGACGCTGCTGCAGAGAGGTAAATTTCACCCTTAATGAGCTACAAGAATAAGATCAGTTATCCCAGTTTAACGGTCTTCTCTTCCAGCAGTACCTTCAGAATATTTTTTCTCTTCCATTTTTCCCTGCTACCACGTTAGTGATTTTATTACCTTGTCTTCCATTTCTCAAAGGTACAGACAGACCAGTAAGGAAAAAAAAAATGGTAAAAACTGTATTATTTTTTTATACTTTGAAATACTAAAGGAGAAAAAAGAGCATAATAGAAATGATATATCTGACACAAAAATGACACAAATGTTCTTCTTGAAATTCCTGACAAGATTATATTATAAAGAAATAGCCAAAAGGAGACAACACCAAACTTCAGGTAAAACTTGGAGGTAGTCTTCCTGATGGCACTTTACTGGCACAGGTTGCCCAGAGAAGCTGTGGCTGCCCCATCCCTGGCAATGTTCAAGGCCAGGTAGGACAGGGCTTGAAGCAAGCTGCTCTAGTGGAAGGTGTCCTGCCTGCGGGAGGGGGTTGGAACCGGATGAGCTTTGCAGTGCCTTCCAACCCAAACCAGTCTGGGATTCTATAAAATGTGAATCACCAGTTAAGAATACAAAAACTAAGCACCCAAATGACTTAGCATCTTATTTTCAGCATCTTTTGTCTGCTAAAATGTTTAATCCTTGGGAATACTGTGTGGTAGAAAGAATCTATCCAGGATTCACTGGTGGTATTACACAACTCTGGTATTACAATGTTACCATAACTCACACATACCCCAGGCTTGTGACACTGCAAGACCTTTAATGTGGGATAAAAGAATCAGACATTATAGTGTTTAGTACAAGTTCTGCCCACTCTGCACTGAGCTTCACTGAATAACTGACTGCAGGAAAATTCCCTGTGAAACTAAAGACAGAAAGGATCACATCTCAAAATACGGATTTAGCTCTAACTTTTCAAGCAACAAAGGAAACGATACACAGGTCTTGGTCCATGTTTCTTTGCAGGAATCATGTTAAACTTAGCGACTTTTCAATCAGATTTCCACTTCCAATAAATGTTTACCTCTCGACCCTCTCATCCCAAAATCTCAATCCAGCAAAGGAAACTGACTCTATAAGTGCTTCCTGCTGGCAGGAAGACGTCTGAAAAGTCGAAACTTCCAGAAGAGGTTACTGATGTTGCACTCTCTGAGCTGGGGCAATACAAGAGTTATGGTACAACTCCTTCCTTCCTTCCTTCCACCCTTTCCTCCTTCCCTCCCTCCCTTCTTCCTTCTCTCCTTCCTTTCTTCTTCCCTCCTTCCTTCTTCCTTTCTTCCTTCCTTTCTACCCTTCCTCCTTCCTTTTTTCCTTCCACCCTTCCTTCCTTCTTTCCTTTCACCTTTCCTTCTCTCCTTCCTCCCTTCCTACTTCCTTCCTTCCTCCTTCCTTCCTACCATTCTTCCTTCCTTCCTCCTCCTTCCTTCCCATCTTCCCTCCTTCCCTCCCACCCTCCCTTCTTCCTTTTCTCCTTCCTTCCTCCTTCCTTCCTTCCCTTCCACCCTCCCTCTTTCCTTCCTTCCTTCTTCATTCCTTCCTTCCTTTCTTTATTCCTTCCTCCTTTCTTCCTTCCCTCCCTACCTCCCTCCCTCCTTCCTTCCTTCTCTCCTTCTTTCCCTCCTCCTTCCTTCGTTCCTTCCTTCTTTCCATCTTCCTTCCTTCCTTCTTCCATCCTTCCTTAATCCTGCCTTCCATCCTTCCTTAATCCTGCCTTCCTTCCCTCCTTCTCTTCCTCCCTCCCTTTCTTCCTCCTTCCTTCCCTGCTTCACTCCCTCCCTCCTTCCTTCCCTTCTCTTTTCCCTCATTTCTTCCCTCCCTCTTCCACTCCTTCCTTCCTTCCCTCCCTCCTTCTTCCTTCCTTCCCTCCCTACCTCCTTTCTTCCTCCTTCCTTAATCCTGCCTTCCATACTTCCTTAATCCTGCCTTCCTTCCCTCCTTCCCTTCCTCCCTTTCTTCCTCCTTCCTTCCTTCCTTCCCTCCACCCTTCCTTCCTTCCACCCTTCCACTATTCCTCCCTCTCTCCCTTCCTTCCTTCCTCTCTCCGTCCTTCATTCATCCCTCCCTCCTTCCCCTTCTTCCTTTCTTCCTCCCTCCCTCCCTTCCTTCCACCTTTCCTTCCACTATTCCTTCCAGAGGGAGCCAGGTATGGAGCCACACACAACAGAGCAGTTATAAGTGGGTAGATGATTGAAAAACAACATAATTCAACCTGCAAACACTTCAGGAACTTTTGGGTCCATAAAAGACACACTTCATAAGTTCTTAAATTACTCTACCAGTAACACAAAGTGATATGTATTTTGTGTAAAAAATTACTACATCTTTACTCCTTGCTCAGTAAAAGGAGAGTACTTTCAATTTATTTCATGATGATTAATCTATCCTGATATTCTCTTCTGAGACAAATCAGTCTCCAATATTTCACATCTGGCTATGGATGCATAAAGATATTAGGTACTGGAGATGGTAACTGCGGATGCCACAATGAATCTACAAGTTTCTCCCATTCTGAAAATGTTGAAAATCTACAATAATCCTCATATTATCTTGCAAAACTAACTGAGATAATTAAAGAAATTTCCATTTGTTTCCTTTTCTGAATCATATTATGTATGATATGAATCACATTTTGCCCAGGGAGGTTGTGAATGCTCCATCCCTGGCAGTGTTCAAGGCCAGGCTGGATGAAGCCTTGGGTGAGATGGTTTAGTGTGAGGTGTCCCTGCCCATGGCAGAGGGGTTGGAACTAGATGATCTTAAGGTCCTTTCCAACCCTAACTATTCTATGATTCTATGAATTCCTCAAAACCCTTGGGATTTCTTACATAAAATCAGCTATTAAAAGGAAAATGCATGCATAACATTATTTCTGTTTCAATACTTGTCCTTTTAAAACATGCTTGATTGGGAGGGGTGTAAATCCCTTCAAACCAAATTGATCTTTCACTATGTCTTATGATGCTCCAGGGCTCAAAAGAGCATTCCAGTACGCACAGATGGGTACCACATTCTGAACATAGCAAAATCAAGAATTAAGACAGTTTATGAATATAATCCCAAATCAGAAGGGAAAAGGTGGCTTAGTTATAATGTCATTTTAATAGATTTTTAAAAATCTAAAAAGTATAAGAAATTAACCTTTAGCAGTAGCATAAGATTTCCAATGTTTCCACACCCACACGCAGCCCCATTAAACACTTTCCACCTGATTAAGAGCACTACACAAGTGTGTCATAACAGGAAAGGCTCATGCTGCACCAAAGTAACAAGAAAAACATGAAGGCAAATATCTTATTCCACGAGACTAAAAATGTTTCTAGCCCAATTCAAATATGCTTATTCATAAGATGATAAAAGCTTGGATCTGAGAAAAATATGGCTTGATCTAGTAAGTAACAAGCTGCATACAACAGAATACCAATACATGCTTCTATATCATAACAAAAACTTTGGAAATTACAACTGTTCAAGCATACAAAAGAATCAGGAATCCAAAGTTAGTAATATGATGCTATTAATATGATGGGATCTCTTCTGAACCCATTTAAATGGTTTAAAAAAATTTCATATCCTAGAATCCCAGACTGGTTTGGGTTGAAAGGACCTTAAAGCTCATCCAGTCCCAATCCCCTGCCACAGGCAGGGACACCTTCCACTAGAGCAGGTTGCTCCAAGTCCTGTACAACCTGGCCTTGAACACTGCCAGGGATGGAGCATTCACAACCTCTTTGAGCAATCTGTGCCAGTGTCTCACCACCCTCACAGTAAAGAAGCTCTTCCTTATATCCAACCTAAATCTCCCCTGTTCAAGTTTGAACCCAAATACAAGAATACAATACATACTCAGCCACCCATTGCAAGGAAATTGTTAAGAGAGAGGGAGTTAAAGCTAACATGGAACCAGTGTTTCAATGTGCTTAAGTGCAGCTCCACAGGCAGACTTACCATGAACTGAGCCACTGCCTTAATGAAGAAAATCCGGTCCTGCTCCGTCTCCACATCAGGAGGAATATCAGTCTGAGGTTCATACCTGTGGCAAGAAGCATGTGTACATTCTGACAAAAAATACATGTGCAATATTCAAGAGACTGGTTCATTTGTGAGGCAAAAATCAAACAAGATGAGCACATATGAGACTGTGAAATAGATCTTTAGCTCCTGCTGCAGCCTTGGTGATCCAGATCCTGGAATGCATTTGTGTACAAAGCACAAAAGCTATAAAACCTGAGACACCCCTCCAGAAGGAACTTTCATGGTGGGGTCCTCAATACATCTTTTCAGTTGGTTTTGCAAAGGAGCAAAATTTAGGTGGCTCAAGTCTGTGAAAGCCTTATTTTCAGAAGTAATTTACTACTGAAATCACAAGCTGCTTATATATATCAAACTAAACTTAATCACAAATGGCCTCATGATTTGGAACATGCAATACTTGGAATAGGCATATGACTAAGTTAATGCTCCCAGTCTTTCCAGTGGTACATTAAAGTTACCTGTACTAGATTGTTATTATTGATAATAACAAAACCAGCCACCTTGGCGTTTAAAAGTTTACGCCACTTTTCCACTCAGTCAAAATACACAAGACAAATTCACACTCAGATGTCATTTTAAAGATATTACTTTCAAAAGTAAAAAAAAAAAAAAAAAAAAAAAAAAAAATTAACAAAAAAGCAAATTGAAAGATAGTGAAATCCTTTAAGAAAACACTAGTGAAGTGCAGAAATTTCTGGAAATCACCAGTCTCCAGGAACCAGGTAAGAACAACAGTAAATTCCCAGTCTCAACAAAAGCTTCAGGATTTTTAGCATTCAGGCAGGCAAAAAAGTATCTTTGCTCCCACATTTGAAATTTGAGCAAGGTACATGCAAAGTAGCCTCTCTGCTTCAAAGTGTAATTAAAAGGCTTGTAGAAGCTGGAAAACGTGTCTGCCTGTGTCAAGGGTAACTGACCCATAACAGAAAAGGATGCCAGTGTTCAGTTGATATTTAGTCTGAAAGGGAAGTATTTTTTTATTAGGCTCAGCATTCCCAGTTATCTATAACAGAAGTTTCAGCTTTTAAAAGTGTTCAGGTTCATTAAAGAAGCATATTTTAAAAACAATATTTGTTTTCTTTCAATTGCTCTGCTACTTTACTGTTATAAACTAAGGGGGATTGATGTATGTTTTTACAGGCATTGAAAAAAAACAGTAATTTACAACCTCAGTGTAACAGCAGTATTTTAAAGAATATTTAGGTAACTTAATCCAAGCAATTTTGAATGGTTGTAAGTATTTCCTTATTTTATTATGATTGCAACAGTATTCAAACATCTAACAGGACAGTACTGGATACGAATAGGATCGTATCACTGGATACGAATAGGATAAAAATAGCAAGCAGGCAAATGGCTTCAATTGTATGAGCAAATGAAAATATTCTTTCACTTACATAGGAGAAAGAATATTATGTATAATTTGATTAGCACCTCAAGTTTCATAAATATTTAACTGAAGTCTGACAATAGGTTAAGTGGGTGTAAAACTAAAACTGGGTACTTGTAGATTAGTACTGTATCATTTGAGGGTTTTTTATACATGGCATGACAACAGACAATACCGGGTTGAACCAATGATAATTGTAGCAACAAGGTAAGAACTAACTGCATCTTGACAAGTCCTCACTTGCCCCTTTTGGGGCAAATGTGGGTCAAATACAGGCAGAATAGTAACAGAGTTTGTAGAATATGTGAAAGACACACAGCTGCTTTTAAGCAAGTGTGCACACCTTCAAAGATGCAATTTGGGGGTTGGAACTACATGATCATATGATCCTTTCCAACCCTAACCATTCTATGATTCTTTGAAGCTCTGCCAGGACTCAGACATTGTATGTTCTCCTTCAGCTACTAAGCCACTTATTTGTTGTTGTATAATAATAACAGAATCATAGAATTAACTAAATTAAAAACCTGTGAACTAAACTAACTACCACATTTTCTACCTGATATTTATAAAAGTAGATCTCACAGAATGACTCAGTATCATTATGCTTCCCTTTAAACTTCTTAAAACAGTTTCACACCAGTACACCAGCCCCCTGCATACATACCACACCCTGGCCGCAGCCCCAACATGTCCTAGCCTGATCACCAACCTTTTCACTAGCCAGAAGAGCACTTCAGAAACAAGCATGAAGTTTGGGGTATGGAAATTCTCCATAGATATGAGTCGGGGATACCCCAGTGCCCTCATCATCTCAGTAAAATCTGAAAAACAAGCAAGAGCAGGAATTCCTTCTTACATATCTGACACGGATATTACCAAGAACGCTGGTTGCCACAGCAGGCAGTTCATTTACAATTAGATATGCCCTGTTTAAAAAAAAAAAAATCTTGAATGGATTAAAGGAGGCATCCAATAGCTCAAGGGGCTACAGGAAATTTGGAGGACATTTTACAAGTACCTGTAGGGACAGGACAAGGGGGAACAGCTTTACCCTGAGAGAGGAGAGACTGAGATGAGCTCTTAGGCAGAAGCTCTTCCCTGTGAGGATGCTGAGGCGCTGGCACAGGGTGCCCAGAGAAGCTGTGGCTGCCCCATCCCTGGCAGTGTTCAAGGCCAGGTTAGACAGGGCTTGGAGCAACCTGGTCTAGTGGAAGGTGTCTCTGCCTAATGCAGAGGGGTGGAGCTGGATGAGTTTAAGGTCCCTTCCAACCCAAACTAGTCTGTGATTCACTAGAAAATACGCCTGAGTAAAAGGGTGACATTTTTACAAGAGATTCACTGGGCAGAATCGATGTCAGCAAAACTTCTCTCTACAAAACACCCCATGAGGTTAACTGACTGGAGGCTGTGGGGTCACCACCAGGCAGGGGCTGTGGTGCCCCCGTCCCCCGCGGTTATCCCTTCAGTCAGTTTAAAGGAAGGCTACAACCCCCTGCAGCCTCTGAGGCACCGGCGCCCGCGCCTCCTCCTGCATCCATAAATGAAACTACCGGGAAAAACTTAACACAGCACCGGAACCCGCTCGGCTGCTGAAGCAGCAAACAGGCCGCGGGGAGCCGAGACCGGGACCGGGACCTGCCGTGCCCCGTGCCATCCCCCCGCCCCAGACCCGCGGCCCTCGGCGAGGATCCTCACCGCGGAGGTCGCGGAACGACATCACCAAGAGCCCGCCGCAGCCGCGCTGGGCCGCAACGCTCGTCTCCACGGCAACGCGCCTACGGCGCGGCGGCCGGGACAAACTGCGTCGGGAGGCGAAGCGCCATAAGAGGGTCGAGCCCCGGCATCTCGTCGGCGCCTGGCATCCGCGCAGCACGCGCTGCGCCTCGGCGGTGCTCTGGGTCTCCCCTTAGCTCCGCCGGGTGACGGGGACACCGAGGGACACGCTGTCCCTGCTGCCTGGGCTAAACCGGGGAACACCGGCGTGTAATGGCTGTTCCCTCAGCACTGGGAGCCGGCCCCGGACGCCCACAGCCGGGAGCGATATCCAGCCGGGCAGGGAGCTTTGCTGAGCCTGGCTTAGATGTGTTACTTGGGTACGAGCCATCACGAGTTACTTTCCAAGAACTCGCAGTGCCATGTTAAACCACTGCTGGGAGGAGAAGGCTGTGGGACGGCGCAGTAGCCACTGGGGGCACAGAACCCCATGCCCTCACCTCGCCTCAGCACACATAACCCATCACATCTGCATCCACGGGGCTGAGTCTCCAGCCCGCTGTCCTATTGCAGGTGGCACATCCACCTCCATCCACTTTGCAGACGAGGACTGTGGTCTCTGCAGGGACAGGAGCCCAGCATACAGCTCTGCTCCAGTGCTCGAGCATTGCAGGGCTGAGCGTGGGGAGCAGAGGGTGAGGACCTGCAGCAAGGCAGCAGGACCCTTCCTCTCTACAGTGACACCTCTCTGATGGGCACCCGGAGTGCCACAGCCAGAGATAGCAACTGCAGTACGTGGAGCACTCACCTCGTACAAGAGGTTCCGCACAGCCCAGGCGGCACATGGCAGCGGAGCCAGGGACACCCGCAGAAAGCAGTGTCCCCAGGCCAGCCAACCTGTCAGCTCCCTCCCACACCTGACACCGACCGCTCCTGCCGGCGGCTTCCTAACAAACCTCCTAAAGGCTCTTAGTGTCCCGAATTTGCCCCTGCACGCACACCCAACAGCAGTTTTCATGCTGATGCATGAAGCAAGTGCAGCATGACAGCTTCTCCGCTAATGCTCAGTGGTTTCAGACGTCCTGAAGGAGCAGGAGCTCTGATCATGAGACTGAAAAACACCGGACGGAGCAGCCACAGCTCTTACTGACAGGGTCACAATATCATGGAGCGGAATGAGTTGAAGTTAATCTAGATGTCAGGCTGATCTATGGACATCTCAGGACATTTTATAGAGCAGCTGGCAGTTTCCCAGTTCTAACTGCCCAAGCATATATAAGGCATGCACACAAAGGTTCTATATTGAGTAGCACCATATTCACACGATCAAAAATTAATCAAAAGCAAGGAAATAGCAATAAATCCTAAAAAGAATAAATATTGAAATGAAGTGGTTACATTAGAAAATAAGAGATGTAATTAAAGGCTGGGTTTCTTATGCTGGAAAACCTCAAATAATTCACTAGTTCAAGAGCGTATCAGCCATCCAGTAACCAGGGCATGGGACCAGAGAAGGAAGGAAACATTCTGCTCTGCTGCTGTGTTACACTGACCAGCAAAAGACAGGTGGGATGAAATACCTGGGGGAAAGCCAAAGCTGCAAAATAAATGGAATAAAGTGGTAGTGTGCTGTTTACCTCAGCTCTTCACTTTATATAGATATCATTAATATTTATATATTAATATTAGGCAGCACAAACATACCACTGGAGATGGAGTGGATGCAACTTTGAACTAAATAGGGTCCCAAACAGGAAAAACTGCAGCCATGTAGCCATGGCAGGATCTCAACCACATCTGTGAGGGCTAACACTTTCCTGCCTTCCCACCTCCAGGAACCCACACCCAAACAAAGCCATGCCACACAGCTCTACATATTCCCTAGACACATACACTAACCTCCATGGAAACAGCTCACCATTCCATAGCCCAGCTCACACCCAGCTCACACTTTTGATATATGCTCCCTCGCCCCATCACCCCCCCCGTTTCCCCCCCCCCCCCCCCCCCCCCCCCATCACTCCAAAACCTGGAAATCTTGTTGGAAAGGGAATAAAATCTGAAATTTTGTCACAGGGTTTTGTGGCAATGTGTGAGCTATCAGACAACACTGCAGGCTTCTGAGTACAGATGGTAGCACCTTCACTGCACATCTGCAGTGTCTGGTCTCCATCCAGACCTCTAATTTCATTTAGATTATATTATTTCTTTTGAGCTGCAGGAAGCCACAGCTGCTGCTGGGAGCCTGGTAGAGGTGTAGGAGGAAGCCAGCTGGGGTGGCAAACACCCTCCAAGCAGTGTGTAAGCACCCAGCAGCACCGGCTGCCACACAGGCTGCTCTCCAGCAGAAGGTGGTGGCAGCCCGAACCACTGGTGGTAAGGAATTAGCAGTGAACAGCTTTGCTCTAAATCACAGTTGGGTATGACAGAAGCATTAGCTATTTTTTAACACCTCATGCAAAAACAGTCCTTTGCCTCTTTCATATGCTGTGCATGTGAATTTGGTGCTTCCCAAATCACGTTCATGCTGACAAGCGCTATGCATGCTGCAAGTGGGACAGGGCAAGCCCTTTTGCCCCCAGGCTATTAGCATCATCTCATACTATTTACTGCCTCTATTCTGGTTTCAGGACTCTAACCCCTTTTAGCCCCTTCTCTCTGGCTCTCACCAGTCCCCAAACACACTGCTGAAGTCAAGCCATCCTTTGTCTCATGAGCATCCATTAATCAAAGATTTCACCAAGAAGTCATTGATCTGGGCAGCTGAACATCATTGATCCAGACTACATGCTGTCAGGTCCCTTTCAGCTGCTGCAAGTCTGGTTAGCACAATGTACTTTGAAATAGTCCATCACTCAAATATCCATCCCATCAGACAGCCTGATGTCTCTGTGTCAGCTCCCAGTTTAGCAAGAACAGTGCCCAAGTTTGTGGTGCTCAACCTCTCCGCGCACTGGGAGAACCTAATTCCGCGGACCAAGGCAGGAGACAAGCTCTGCAATTAGAATGATGGGAAGGAGAAATAAATTCATTGCAAGGATGGCCAGACCTGTAGCATCCCACCAGCCTCCTCTGCCTGTAACTCTTCTCTCTTTTGGGGGAAAAGAACAACTTGGCCACATCTGCCCATACAGGATTGTTATTGTCCTTATCGCCATTTTAGGATCAGCAAAATAAATCTAACAATTTTTTGTTTGAGACCTATTGCACCAAACCCTTTACATCTAAACCAGTGTTATCCATCTCATTCACGGTCAGAGTGTCCTGGCTATCACCTAGTGGTTTTTCATTCTTCCCAATCTCACCTCAGCAGTGCAGGTTGTGCCCCCCGGCAGCTGCTCCCCACGTCGGGCTGCACACAACCCTGTCCCTTCAGAACATCCCTGTGGTATCTGTCAGGTTCTCAACATATAAATAATCACCTCCATCAGTCTTTGCCTGAGCTTGTACTTTCAGCCATCCAAAATCTTTCTGCAGATGGATAGAGTTGGGGGGGGGGGGGGGGTGTGTGTGTCTACATACTCTTTAGTTCTTTCCCCAGGTTGTGTTTTTTGGCAGAGCTTGGCATTAAAGTTGTTATTGCATGCTTCTAACTGAAATCGTCGCATCCTTACATAAAAGTTCCTAGGCAGATTGGCCCAAGGCATTTTTTCCTCCAGTAACAAGGAATTCTAACTTTGTGAAGAGTTGTTTCAAACTATTCCCATGGGGTAAACAGTTGCATGAGGTTAGGCTTGCCCAGAGATGCAACAGCAGATGAGTGCCACAGGCCAGTTGTGAAAACAGGGCTTGTTCCAGCTCATAGAGAGCCCCAAGGAGCTGCTGTGATGTCTCTGCCCCTTAATTGCAAAGGAGATTTGTTTCCATGCCTTAAATTTCAGAAAGAAACTGTGCAGCAGCCGGGCGAGCAGTGCCGAAGGGGGATTTGGGAAGGAGTACAAGGACAGGTGGTGGCATCACCACCACAGCTCATTTCCCAGTGCACTTCTGTACAGTGACCTGCAAAGCAAAGCAAAAGAGGTTCAGGATCTTCCTGCTCTTTTTTTTTTTTCTGATATCGTCTTACCTGGCTGTTCCCACACTCCAAATTCAGTCTTTGGTCCCAGGGACAGCATGACAAGGACATAATGTGCTGTTGAAAATATAATCAAGTGAGAAAACAAGTCATTTTTACTCTGATTTCTCTTTTTTTTTTTAATCAGGCATTTTTCAGATTCCTCAAGCAAAAAACAACACTCATCTTTAACCTCCCTGCTGTGAAAAAAGGGTTAAAGGACCTCAAGCTTCTTTTGCATCCCAGGAGATGCTTGTGTGAAATTACTGTACACATTGGGACACTCTGACTTTCACACAGTGTGGAAAATAATGAGAATGTGGTCATCTTGATGGTGGAGAATATAAAACCTGTTTCTGATGGGTTCTTACTTGTTAGAGAAATGCTGCAGAAGGGCATTAGCTTTACAAATAAACTGTTTATGGCTCAAGAAGCTGGGAAATAAATCTGCCAGAGCAATTTTCTCAAAGAGGGCCTGGTGCAAAAATAAATAAGGCAAGGTATGAAATGAGGAGGCTTTCATTTGGCCACACAGACACTTCTCATTGAGTTTCTTTGTGTCCACTTTCTACTTTTACTTGCAAGCTGAGCATCAATTTTTGCTCTTCTAATCAGAGTCTCCCCCATTACCCACCTGGGACCAGTAAGTGTTCACCTAAAGGCTGCTTTCAGCCCTGCGCCGCAATATTTGCCACCCACACCCCCACGGTGTGAGGTTTCTGTTTGCTGCTGAGGGCTGGCTCAGCTTGCAAACTCCTTGGTGTTGGCACAGAAGAGAGTTTCATGAGCAGACTTCTTCCTTCCCACTTTATTTAACATTAACCTCATCACTCCAGAGGCAAGGAAGGGAAGGTAACTGCTACCAGGAGGAGGGGAAATGGCTGGGGATCGCTGGTGGAAAGCGAAGTGCTATTTGTGCCCAGGAACCTGGGGAGATGTGGAGCCTTTGTGTCTGGGGAAGGAAAATACCCAAGAATGTCACGTTCCCTGTAATACATTGCAGAGCAGCTCCCTCCCTG